CTGATTACCTGCCTCCCATAGACCTGTAGGTAGATAGTGACGAAGAGACCATCAGGGAATTCATTAGCTTACTGTCATAATTAATGTTGTATGGAGCCAGCAAACGGCTCCCCTCAGAGAAGGATAACGCATCAGGTTGGGAAATGTAGAAAGGTGTTCCCAATCGCAGTGTCAGCTAGTGTAACACATTGATTAGCGCTGCTGAGCCCTGTTAGAGCTATTACGTATCACTCCTGATTTACTCAGCGTGGTAACTTGGAGTGTTCAGGACAACAAGTGGAAGATGAGGGAAGGGAGACAGAGGCAGGAAAGGAAGAGAAATAAATGATGGGGAGATTGAGAAAGAATCAGAATCAGTTTTATTGCCAGGTATGTGTACACCTACGAGGAATTTGACTCAGGATTGTACATTGCTCACGATGTGCTTACTTGTACAAAAATACCATAACACAATAATAAAATAAAAATAAAATAAAAAAAATCAGACACAAACTACAGAATAGACAACACTAATATATACACACTATGAACAAAACAATATAGACATATTGATAAATAGTGCAGTGATCAGAGTGCAAAGGATGCAGGAGTAAACTATTCTCATTATGTACATGTTGAAGGTGGATATACAGGTACACATACATGCACACATGTACACATGTACACAGTGTGATGGAGATTACAAACTAAGAAACCAGGCCAAATTTTGGGTGAGAACCGAGAGCCATTCACAGCCAAAATAAAACTCTCTCACGGAGCAATGAGTGACTGTCATAGAGTCACTGTTGCATGAGCTGTTCAGGGCAAAATACCTTTTTGTACACGGCAGCATTGGAATGGAACAAACTCCCAGTTGAGATTAATTTAAGCCAGTCAGATCGCTGTTTTAATCGAGCATGTGGTGAATGGTTGTTCAATGCTAATTAGATTCGGAATTTGTAAGGGTCGATTGTACAGGGTACTTTCAGTCATCCGGCGCTTGCCTTGCCATCTTTATCAGATTACAACGAGGACAGCAATGGAAATAAGTTTCTTACTTTCTTGTGTTATCCTTCGACAGTTCTGATAAATGGATATTGTCACTGCGTAGGCATCTTTTTATGCATTTATTTGTGTTACTGTCCAATAAAATCAAATCAAAATCATTTCATGTAGTAGAAATTACTAGCTACCAAGTTTTCATTACATTTACTGTTGATAAGTTCAGCTGACTCGGATTTTAGACCACAATGGGAGTGCTGTAAAACCTTACGAGCATAGTGCCGGTTTGTGCTGGCTAACTACTGTGAGGCCACTGTGAGGCATATGAGGAGTGAGGACATAATCTTTCAAAACTTAAAAAAATGCACTGGACTTTGAGAACAAGAGCTGTTACCCTGTTGTGTTACAAATACACTGACTAGACGGTGACAGACAATTGTGGTTATATTTCAAATTATTTATCAAAATATTGCTGGGGACAATTCAGTAGTTGGTAGGGACATGTCGCTTCTAAACTGATTTCTACACTAAATAAAGTCAGCAAATGCCATGGCGTGCGCTGCATGAAACCACAGCCTGTGTGGCAAGAACACCTTCCCAAATAAAATGGCAAACATATATCATTTAAATCTAGATGGACACATTTCTGTGACTATACTAAAATGTGCACAATGTACAAAGATGAACTGAAAAAAGTTAAATTATGTAAATCATTTCAATATACTGTTCTAGCTGCCGGTGTTAGGGCTGCTTCAGCCACTTCGTGCTGCTGTTTGGTCACTAATGTCGATCACACCTTACACCTGCACTCTCCTTAAAAAAGGAGGATATTTTTCTATTTTAAGATTTATAACTTAGTTGCAAAACTGACATAAACACCATATAAAGTTCCAAAAGTTAACACTCGGCAGATGTGGAGCAACATTTGCATCCCATTGACGTTTCTGGCTGTCTAAGACAAATATTCTCTCTCTTTTTAGCTCTGGTTTGGTCTTTACCAACCCCTAAGAAAAACATCTGGCTGTTTAACTGCAGTTCACCAACATCTTTTAAAGCTTTTTATTACTGGGTAGGTAATGTACAGTGGGGTTTATCAGGGCTGGTTTGCACGCAGGTCCCATAGTGACTTGATTCATTGTTAATATAAAAATGATTATCATGTATTTAAATAACATCTCTAAATGCAAAATCCACTGCAAGTCTAGACAATTCTTTACAGGCCTTTTTATAACATAAAACATGCCTGCATGGTCAAATGTTGCACAGTCACTGACTGAGTGCTGGAACAGAGCAGGGCGTGCCTGAGTGTCAGCAGTGATGGAGGCTGCAGATGAGTTCGCTTCCCTCTGCACAGGCCGCCCTGTGCTGCTGCTACACCGCTACTGCTACGTGTGATTTGTGACTGTAGGAATGTAGCACGTCAGACGGACAGTGTCCCATCCAATCATTTATTCAGGACAACTACAGCCTGTGGCTGCGGGATGGATGGATGGATGGGAAACAAAGTATCAGCACAGCGAGTAGGGATGTATGGAAATAAGAACAAATGTGTTTGCTATTTACTCAAGCCTACAGCGGTATAGATGTCGGGTGATGGAAGACGGACTGAACCCACTCCCATAAAACAGATGGGAAGCCAGACAATTAAAGAGGGCAGAGAGGCGGCAGAAGAAGGAGAGTAAAGTATGTTGCTCTGCGTCTGACCTATTTAGCAAATGAAGAGCCATAAACACAGATCTGAACTCACTCTGCTAGACAGCCAGGGCTAAATCAGAGCTAACCACCACAGCCCTGTAAAAATGCTAATCAAAGCCTGCAAGGTTCAGAATAGCTTTATAAGTGGGGCAGCCTTTTTCGCTGTTCCTTTTCAATTTTGGGCTCAAGTCCTTCTCGTCCTCGTTACCGCCTATTTCTGCTCACTCCTAAATAAATCATCAAAAAGGCATCTGCACTGAACGAATACACAGAGCTCGCACGCTAGTGTACAGTATGCACTCAATCTTCCAACTGGAGTCAATACCAAGAGATACTGTAAGATATAATAAATATATAATCACGCAAGCAGTGGACTGGAAAGAAAGCTACTGGATCACATAGGTGTCAATAGTGAGGTTTCTGAAAACTGAGACAGGCCCCCACAGAAAGAGAACTGTCATCAGGCCTTTGCTGTATGGGCCCCTCAGCTGTCCCCATACACCTGCCAGGAGATCTCAGACAGGCAAACTCAGAACTCCTTTAATACTACTTAAGACTCACTTTTATCAACTGGCTTTTTTTTTTAACTGGTGGTATTTAAATTATTTAAATAATTACAATAATCATGTTCTGGATCCTATTTGCTTTTATTTTATGTTTTTATTGTAAAGTACTTTGTAACTTTGTTTTTAAAAAGGTACTATATTAAAAAAGTATTATTGTTTGTTTGTACACCGTTTGCAGTTGCAGTCTAAGCATGAAGAGATGTGAAGCAAAATGTCCAAACTGACGATAATAACGTAATAACGAGCAGGAGAAGAGACTTTCATTCAAATCCAATTTGCTTCCACAGGATATTTTGTTGAGAGACTAACAAACATGATGTGGCCTTGATTTGGAGATGAAGAAGAGATACTTGGGCCTGGTAGGTTTCATGCTGGGCTGGTATTTGACTGAGGGGTTTGCTTGGACTGGATCATGGTACATCAGCTCAGCAGCTGCACAGCTGCAGGTTATCAGCTGATTAGTAGCCTGGTAAACTGGCCTGCTGGCTGTGAGGTTCTGGGGCGTACACTATGTAAAAGTATTGACAGTGCTCTATGTTTGTGATTTGTATATAAGCAGTAAATTAAATTAAAGGGTAATTTCACCCAAATTACAAAACATATTTCCTCTGTTTCCTCTAGTGGTATCTACAAATTATTTTAGTTTTATTTGTCAAGGGTTTAAGATATGCACATCTGAGATTTTAGCCATTCCTCAATGCTGTGAGCAACTTCGATAAAAATCCATTCACCTCCATTGTATTGCAGTAGAGGCAGAGATTTGTAAGGCCACCATTTCAAAACCCGGACAAATTAAACCAAAACTATCTGCATGGATAGATAATATTAGAGGTAAATAATGTTTGTTGCTGAACCAGCACTTCAGCTGTTGGACTAACAGTAAAGTACATTTTATATAATTTGAGCTCACTCACATTATTGTGGAATAATATAGCATGTCAAGAACAAACTCCAAAACTGCAATTTTCAGGTTTAATGCGCAATATACTAAAGCACCTGGACAGGCATCTGGAGCCCATTGCACAAAAATGAAATGAAAGCTCTGCTTACGAACAGGTTGCAAAAAGTGCAGCCAGTATGTTGAACATTTTCTGAAATGGGCCCCAGGACAGCAGTGAAGACACGCAAGCCAATCTCCTCAGGCCTCACACTTTCCTGGATCACCCTGACACACACAAAGCTTTACTGTCAGTGTAATGGCTTTGTGTAGGTGAAAAGGTGATGGAGATACCGAGAGGTTCCCTCCAAAGCAAAATCTCCCCTTGAGTCCTGGAAACATTAATCCTGTGTCCTAAACACAACCACATACCGAATGGATGATAAAAACTGACCTGCAGACACTTGAGCTGAACTTTTCTTTTTGAGCTATTTGTACATTTAAACCAGAACTCAAGTTCATGTTACACAGCAATGTTGCACTCAGATCAAGCCAAGAACAACTTTAAATGTTCCCTACTCAAGCAAGCAGTGCTGAGAATCTGTAAATCTAATGTGCAAACAATCCATGCATGATAAAACTGAACAAGACTCCGCAGTGATACCACATGTGCTCACACACAAAACAGTGTGAGCAGAGCAGCTCATAACAGCACTAAACACATATTGAAGCCCAACATCATGTTTTACAGCCCAAACTGACAAAATGCTGTTTTTGTTCCGTTAATGTGGATTTTATGAAGGCAAACACTCAACTGATAAGCCAAACAGAGAACCCAAACAGCCACATGATGTGTTCGATCCTGTTGGGGCGGCACTCACCTGAAGCAGCAGCTGCTCCAGGAGGCTGAGCCCCCACAGCGGTCTGTGCCCCCACTGGGGTCGGCGGTACAGGCCTGGGCCAGGATTTAGCCGCAGGAGGGCTGACCCTCATTATCCCGACGTACTCCACAAAAGTCCCTGGAAAGTCTCCCTTCTCCTTGGTCCTCTCGTTGGTGCCGTGCAGCCAGCCTTTGGGGCTGCGCTCGTCCCCGTCCTGGTAGTCCAGCCCTGGCACCGCCATCAGCGAGGCCTTGGGAACGGTGAGCAGGTCACCCGGCTGGAGGCTGATGTCATCACCGCGTTCCCGCTTGTACTCAAAGAGCGCCCGGTACTGGAAACTGTCAGATGCCATGGCAACAGAAGTTCATAAAGCCAAAAATACTGATGTTGCCTGAGATTTCCTGCGTTAATACCAAAAATACCAAACGGAAACTCTGTTAGTTCAAAATCCCTGAGGTGAAAGTGGAAGTCAACCTAAATCTGGGAAACCTGTACAGACGCCTGAGATTTGCTGTGTCGTGCTGACTTGTATGACACAGTGGAAATGATAAAAATCTGATCCCTGAGGTGGAATTTGACACTTTTTTAGCCCTACAACCCCCTGAAGAGCCAGTCCAACCTTCTTAATCCAAAAATATAAGTCCTCCAAGTGCAATGAAGCTGAACTGATCAGACAGCTGGTCTTTGCTTTAACACTGCAGATTTGGTTAAATATCCGTGCATTTCTTTAATAATCCACAGTATGAATCCACCCGTCAGTCACAGCTCTCCAGTCTGAGGCCTGCAGGCTTTTGTGATTCAAATGGACGGACAGACTAACCAGCCACCAGACTGTGTCTGCGAAGGAGAAAGAAAAACAGGAGCAGGTGGAGGGAGGAGATCGGTTGGTTCATAAACTAGAGGGTGGCACAGTTTTCTAGGACGGGTCGACCTCCAGATGATGCCCCAAGCTTCTGCAGGTTCCTCCAATGATAATGAGAAAGTGTCTAGAGCCTACACTAAGTCTACTGTCAAGTCAGACATCCCCACACACACACACAGAGACACACTCACGCATACACACACCTGAGGAAATCCACTGCAGTGCAGAATTTGGCTTCCTATTCAGAGCACCCCTGCTGCTTTGCCTTTCTTGTCTGTGCAGCCTCCTGATGCAGACAGATGCTCCTGCAAACTTAAAATGAAGTTATACAGTTAACGTCACACACTTTTAACCAATTATTAGGAATTGAATGCTTGATATAGCTCAGGACTGAAACTCTTTTTGAGATACATTTAGGGAAAATCAGTAAAAGTACATCAAAATAAGGAACATTTAAGAACATTATAATACATACATAAATTTCTGTGAAAATATCCTTTACCACTCTGCTATGCAGGCTGACATAAACAACAAGCATGACTACCCAAATATGAACTTCAGGCAGACAGCGTGCCTGATTAAACTCGCCCTGCGCCAGTCTGCACTGCTGTCTGATACCCGCAAACACGCCGCAAACTCACCGTTCAAACTGCACAGACGAGCTCTTTTCCTCCACCGGCGCGTCGGCGCGCGAACTACCCGCTTGGACACTACCTGAACCCCGCTGTGCGAGCCCAGACATCCGTGAAGTCCGTCAGGAAGGATAAATGGATGGCGTGGCTGGTTCAGCAGACAGGCAGCCTGCTCGGTGCTGTAGTGAGCGGCAGTGCTGATGTCAGTAAACCCCTCCTCCTCCCGCCGTCTGCAAATTATGCCATGCGGCGGTGACGGGACGGGTCGGTGTGGCGCACCGTTGCTGCAGATGCAGTAAAACCCCGCGTGACCCGGTTATGATGATCTTAGTTTCTGCTGCATTTGTAATTTCGTCTTTTAATTGGAGTTGGTGATGTTATATTATAGATGCACAGGGGATGGGTGGGTGTAGGGTATTGGATGTTCAGAAGCTGCAGAGAGGTGATGAATTATGTAACAACTCTGTGACCTGGAAAATAGCCGCTGCATGTAGGTGTCCCTGTGCTGTAGGGTTGCATTTTAGGAGATAATAAATAAATAAAAGTCTACATAATAGAGGGAGGGCGGATAAGTAGTGGATGATGGGAGAACGGGCAGTCTTGCAGTTGCAGTCTAGTGCGCACATGACACAGCAGCAGACAGCGGTAATTTTGCTGTGTCATCAAGTGCATTTTCAGTTTGGAGCTTCAGATAACAGGTACAAACTGTTTGAAGCAGGAAGGAGAAGTACAAGCCTCAACCTTTTAATGTCTTTATGAGGCTGACTGGCAAAACCAGTAGAGAATATGACACATTTTTGAAGAGGTTATGCAGCTCCTTTTTTTTTATTATCCTCGATTCTGGTTTGGGATATGTGGTATAATAATATACGTGTTGTATATTATAAATCCTAATAGGTCAAAAAACTTTACATACTTACACATTTCTTTCATCCGTTTTCCTGCTTATTGTGAATCTATATGCTCAAATGAAAGTCATATATTGATGATGATAAAATATGGCTGCCACAGAGACACAGTCTTTCATCTATAATGCTGCCCATTGTTTCACGTTTTTTATTTTTTATTTAATAATGTATTAATTATAAGGGACATGATGTTTTATGGATCTATAATCATACTGTATGTGTTAGTGATTTATTATATTTTTTTGGTATGCCATTGCACATTGAGACAAATTTAAATTTAAAAAAATACAGCATATTTGCTGTTTCACAGTGGCATTAGAGGCTTAAATGCAATAGTGATGATGCTATTAATGAGCTATCATTAATAAAATACTTGTTTCTATAAACTAAATAAGTTTTAAGAAGTGATTTTAATTTACAAAAGTGGGGGGTTATAGGTGAAGTGTCAACAGTTATTGATGATAGGGAGATTTTCCTAAGTGCACACCACAGTATTTGGACAGTGACACATTTTTAATTTTGTAAACCGGTGCACTGGACATGCTTGGTAATTTAATTGAACTAAACTAAACTCAGATTAATTTAGGAATAAGCAACATAAAAGCACAACACTCAAATAATAAAGGTCTCAATACAACTTTTGATACAGGATCTCTGTTTAACACTACTACGGTGAGCATTTTCCCACATTCCCAAACAAAGTTACTGTTTTTTTTAAATTTTTTAATCCTGTCCTGCCCAGCAGCCTGGTATAGAGTATGATGACCTGGATACCATATTGTGCCAGACAGATTTTACTTTAACAAGAGAGTATTAATATACTCCTTTGTCTGTTTTATTATGTATTTAATTATGTATTGATTTGTCACCGGGCCGGACAGGGGGGCAGACAGCACAGAGAAAGGACAAGACCTGTAAGAGAAGGGGATGGAAGGTGGGGACAACAGGGAGAAGCAGTGGGAAACACCAATTGCAGAAAGCAACAAAACCTGCAATAGAACAGAGAGGGGGGCTTGGGGAGGAGAAAAACAACAACAAAAACAAACAATAAAAATAAGAATAGTAAAAGACAACCAGCCGAACAGCAGCAATAAACAGCTGACATAGTAAGACAACTAAGAGAAAAATGAAAACAAGAAACAGTCAAAGTTACAGTTAATCACTACAAACAAGGAACGGTGGGAGGACAGGGAGGACGCCGTGGGGGAGGTCCGAGGAGGAGAGGGCCGGTGGATGAGCCCAGCCGACTGAACGGAGGACGAGGGTGAGTGTACCTGGGAGGGAAACAGACAGAGAGACAAGGTTAGGGATGGCAGCGACAAGACACAAAGAAAATGTGGAAAAACAAGAAACATGAAAGCCTGAACACGGAAGTGGCACCGGGTATGGGGGAACGACGATCAAGCGAGGATGGTGTGGAGAACCGGGGTTGAAATACAGGCAGTCATGAGGTGATTACTGGCAGGTGTGGCAGGCTGACGAGGTGGCTGATGAGATGCAGGTGCAGGTAGTTGGCTGGGCTCAGGAGCAGAGGGAGAGAGAAAGCACACAGGGGAGAAAACACAGGGAGGCAGGCAGAGAACAGAAAACCAAGGAAAAAACAGAAAAAACGATAAAAAAGGAGAAACAACCAGGACACTCACCGTCAGCCGGGCTGCCACCACAACAAATCCTGTGGTCCTGTTTTGATTTCCTTTTTCATTTGATGTGTTTTGAGAATGACAGGAATACAAATAAAGATGCTATTTTCATCTGTTTAACTTTTTTTTTCTAGCCAGGCATGCATGACTAAACTCTTGACGCTAGCAGGAATATGAATGTCCCCAGAATAAAAATAAACTTATTAAACACAGAGTTTTAAATATCATCTGGCAACTGCATCTGAAGAAACAAAAGCAAAACCCGCTGAGGATTAATGTGAAACTTGCCTGAGGTCTGTTAATACTTGCTGATATTTAGGAAGAATAGGGGTATGCATGCTCAAACTGAAGTACTGCAACTTGCTGAGGACAACATGTACATAACATTGTCACTGGAGTCTTAATTAATGATTGTTTACTTGCAAGAAGTCAATACATGCACTGCAACAAATACAGAATTGACTGGCGATAAAGGCGTGACAGTCTGCTATTAAACAGTTGGTTACACCCATTGTTTTTTTCCCATGATATACAAAGTAGCTCAATCTTTATCTATATCATATGTCACTCGAAGATTGACAGGAACTGTTGTCTAGCTTACGCCATGTCTTTGGCTTGTAGGTGTTTCCTGTCTGCTTCCAGACACCAAGTTCACTGAGAGTGTATAAGTTCATTAAAAGTGTTAAATGCTTCATTTTATTTTTGGACATGCTTGCAACAGTTTAAAATACTTAAGTATAGCACATTTTCCTAACAAACATGTAAACAGATTTTGCTATGGTTTTTCTAAGCCATATTTCTTGCCAACATTTGCTTACATTTTAGTAAATCTTCCCATAAAAGTCATGTTGCAGTAACGACACGGTTTACACGGAAGTACAGACAAAAATAAACTGGATTACTTTTGATACTCTAATGTATGTACTCAATTTGATTATCAGGCAAGAAATGAAGTTTCAAGGAGAACTTTTTTCATAAATCATTTCCAAGTGGACATATGGACTTCACTGGAAAAAGTAAGTCTCTGCGATTTCAGCAATTTGTGCATGACATCTACGAATTACCAATTTGTCTGTTGTTTCCAAACATTGAGGCAAAATGCATCAAACGCCCACATGACTGTCATGGCTGCATCGTCCGCTCTTCATTCTCTTGTTTCGGTGCACGGTTAAATCTCTGTCATTTATGTGACATTTACTCTGACACGCTGCCAAGTCACAAAAATCAATAAAGCACTCGCTGAGAAATCTAGAAGATATAATCAGGATAAAACAGGCGTTTAGTCATGCTTTTGTCTCAGACAGGGAGGATTGTCGTCTTTGTGCCTCTCAAGCTTACGTATTACTCGTCGTCTTATCTCTCATAACCACGGGCCAATCAGAGGAGAGACAATCTTTGTGAGACAGAAGTGTGACGTCCCAGAGGAGATGGAGGCTAGTTGTCCCAGATTAAATGTGTCGGATTATACAAGCATCGTCTTTCTCTAGCACATTGGGAGTGTGCAATTACTCACACATGCAAACAGCCTTTGCCTGTGTACAGAGCAGTGTTCCCATGAAAGTACAAGTGAATGTATTCTGTTGGCTGTCAGGTCAGACTGATCAGTGTTTGAGTCATGGTGGCTGACATGTGTTTCCCTTTAGTGCAGAACATTAGAACATTTCTTTTCTACATTACCGAAGTTATGAGAAGATCCAGGATAGGGTTGAATAAAGGAAACTGAGATCCGATATTTCCAGGGAATTTTCCATCCAGTTTTAATAGTTGGCTGAGGTGGAAAAGTTGGTGTAATGATAAAGCCAAAAACAGTCATTACATTTATAATGACTTTGTTTTGGCAAACGGAAGAGAAAAATTTGATAGCTGTTGTGTAGAGTTTGGAGAGTTTAACCTTAAAATTACAAGGTAAAAACAAGAAAGAAAAAGGAGGAGACTAGCTTCCTGCATTTAAGTGAGTATTAATGTGTCAGTTTTTGCATTATTTAAATCAGTGTGGTTTTTTTTATATATATATATATATATATATATATGAATTAAACATAGTTCAAACAAATACTGAGGTATAACTTTACAGTATTTCACAAGGAAAAGGCATTTTGTATCAGAATGTTTTTTCCTACCTGATGTTCATCTTTCCACCACACCTTGGATTCATCTTGTGACCCCGTGTGGGGGCCCCCAGCTTGATACTAACGGATATTGGATTTTTTTTAGGCCAATAGCTATTTAAATATTTAAGAGTTTAAAAAGAAATCAGATAATGGTAAATCACCAGTGCAAATATTCGCTCAGACTCATTTTCACTTTAATTAAATCCTGTACGGTAGACCGTGGTAGCTCAGTGGTTACGGCCACATAATTGCAAAGTCCATTTTCGATTCCCAGCCACCGGTGATGCCTGCATCTCGTGTGTGTCTCTGCGATCTCCTCCCAACAGTCCTTTATAATAGCTGTAATTAAACCTCTACTTAAAAAGGCTACTCTTAGTCCAGGGGTTTAGGACAACTAAAGTGAGATGAGGACTCACTCATGACTCTTGATCCAGCTAGACCTGTCTCTAACCTTCTCTTTCTCTCTAAGGATTTATTTGAGGATTTTCAGGATGTTGAGATCATCATAGCACAGAGACAGTAGTGAA